GTTCGCACACATTCCATGTTCACCGTTAGTTATAGAAAACTGTGATCGTGTTGACAAACCGTGTGCGAAACATGTCAATGTTTTCTGTGTGATATGTTTGTGAAGGCCTTGATTGTTGTTGTTGTTGTTGAATAGATGTAATAGTTTGGAGTTTATGTGTTGATGTGAATGTTTGTAAATTGTCGTGTAGTGTTTGTGGTAGGTGTTGTGTATGAGTGAGTGTGTGAATGTGTTTAGAATAGTTGATTGTTTGATTGATTGATGTATGGATGTGTGGATGAATTGATGTAGTTGAGTGTGGATGATGTATTTATATTTTGTCTGGAGTTGATGCAATTTGAGTGAGATAATTTTGTAATTGTGACTATGAGTAAAATGAGAATGGTTATGTGATAGTAGACAGTGTCAATGCACCTTGATGTTGTCGATCGACTGATCGTGCGATGTCGGTGTAATTGTGACAGGGTATTTATAATGCAGAGGATGTAATTGATCTTTCTGCTAACCCACTGTCTTAAATAGATGTTATTTTGGGGTGCTGGAGTTGATATGATTTCGGCCTTACCCGTTCGCACACATTCCATGTTCACCGTTAGTTATAGAAAACTGTGATCGTGTTGACAAACCGTGTGCGAAACATGTCAATGTTTTCTGTGTGATATGTTTGTGAAGGCCTTGATTGTTGTTGTTGTTGTTGTTGTTGTTGTTGTTGAATAGATGTAATAGTTTGGAGTTTATGTGTTGATGTGAATGTTTGTAAATTGTCGTGTAGTGTTTGTGGTAGGTGTTGTGTATGAGTGAGTGTGTGAATGTGTTTAGAATAGTTGATTGTTTGATTGATTGATGTATGGATGTGTGGATGAATTGATGTAGTTGAGTGTGGATGATGTATTTATATTTTGTCTGGAGTTGATGTAATTTGAGTGAGATAATTTTGTAATTGTGACTATGAGTAAAATGAGAATGGTTATGTGATAGTAGACAGTGTCAATGCACCTTGATGTTGTCGATCGACTGATCGTGCGATGTCGGTGTAATTGTGACAGGGTATTTATAATGCAGAGGATGTAATTGATCTTTCTGCTAACCCACTGTCTTAAATAGATGTTATTTTGGGGTGCTGGAGTTGATATGATTTCGGCCTTACCCGTTCGCACACATTCCATGTTCACCGTTAGTTATAGAAAACTGTGATCGTGTTGACAAACCGTGTGCGAAACATGTCAATGTTTTCTGTGTGATATGTTTGTGAAGGCCTTGATTGTTGTTGTTGTTGTTGTTGTTGTTGTTGTTGTTGAATAGATGTAATAGTTTGGAGTTTATGTGTTGATGTGAATGTTTGTAAATTGTCGTGTAGTGTTTGTGGTAGGTGTTGTGTATGAGTGAGTGTGTGAATGTGTTTAGAATAGTTGATTGTTTGATTGATTGATGTATGGATGTGTGGATGAATTGATGTAGTTGAGTGTGGATGATGTATTTATATTTTGTCTGGAGTTGATGTAATTTGAGTGAGATAATTTTGTAATTGTGACTATGAGTAAAATGAGAATGGTTATGTGATAGTAGACAGTGTCAATGCACCTTGATGTTGTCGATCGACTGATCGTGCGATGTCGGTGTAATTGTGACAGGGTATTTATAATGCAGAGGATGTAATTGATCTTTCTGCTAACCCACTGTCTTAAATAGATGTTATTTTGGGGTGCTGGAGTTGATATGATTTCGGCCTTACCCGTTCGCACACATTCCATGTTCACCGTTAGTTATAGAAAACTGTGATCGTGTTGACAAACCGTGTGCGAAACATGTCAATGTTTTCTGTGTGATATGTTTGTGAAGGCCTTGATTGTTGTTGTTGTTGTTGTTGTTGTTGTTGAATAGATGTAATAGTTTGGAGTTTATGTGTTGATGTGAATGTTTGTAAATTGTCGTGTAGTGTTTGTGGTAGGTGTTGTGTATGAGTGAGTGTGTGAATGTGTTTAGAATAGTTGATTGTTTGATTGATTGATGTATGGATGTGTGGATGAATTGATGTAGTTGAGTGTGGATGATGTATTTATATTTTGTCTGGAGTTGATGCAATTTGAGTGAGATAATTTTGTAATTGTGACTATGAGTAAAATGAGAATGGTTATGTGATAGTAGACAGTGTCAATGCACCTTGATGTTGTCGATCGACTGATCGTGCGATGTCGGTGTAATTGTGACAGGGTATTTATAATGCAGAGGATGTAATTGATCTTTCTGCTAACCCACTGTCTTAAATAGATGTTATTTTGGGGTGCTGGAGTTGATATGATTTCGGCCTTACCCGTTCGCACACATTCCATGTTCACCGTTAGTTATAGAAAACTGTGATCGTGTTGACAAACCGTGTGCGAAACATGTCAATGTTTTCTGTGTGATATGTTTGTGAAGGCCTTGATTGTTGTTGTTGTTGTTGTTGTTGTTGTTGTTGAATAGATGTAATAGTTTGGAGTTTATGTGTTGATGTGAATGTTTGTAAATTGTCGTGTAGTGTTTGTGGTAGGTGTTGTGTATGAGTGAGTGTGTGAATGTGTTTAGAATAGTTGATTGTTTGATTGATTGATGTATGGATGTGTGGATGAATTGATGTAGTTGAGTGTGGATGATGTATTTATATTTTGTCTGGAGTTGATGCAATTTGAGTGAGATAATTTTGTAATTGTGACTATGAGTAAAATGAGAATGGTTATGTGATAGTAGACAGTGTCAATGCACCTTGATGTTGTCGATCGACTGATCGTGCGATGTCGGTGTAATTGTGACAGGGTATTTATAATGCAGAGGATGTAATTGATCTTTCTGCTAACCCACTGTCTTAAATAGATGTTATTTTGGGGTGCTGGAGTTGATATGATTTCGGCCTTACCCGTTCGCACACATTCCATGTTCACCGTTAGTTATAGAAAACTGTGATCGTGTTGACAAACCGTGTGCGAAACATGTCAATGTTTTCTGTGTGATATGTTTGTGAAGGCCTTGATTGTTGTTGTTGTTGTTGTTGTTGTTGTTGAATAGATGTAATAGTTTGGAGTTTATGTGTTGATGTGAATGTTTGTAAATTGTCGTGTAGTGTTTGTGGTAGGTGTTGTGTATGAGTGAGTGTGTGAATGTGTTTAGAATAGTTGATTGTTTGATTGATTGATGTATGGATGTGTGGATGAATTGATGTAGTTGAGTGTGGATGATGTATTTATATTTTGTCTGGAGTTGATGTAATTTGAGTGAGATAATTTTGTAATTGTGACTATGAGTAAAATGAGAATGGTTATGTGATAGTAGACAGTGTCAATGCACCTTGATGTTGTCGATCGACTGATCGTGCGATGTCGGTGTAATTGTGACAGGGTATTTATAATGCAGAGGATGTAATTGATCTTTCTGCTAACCCACTGTCTTAAATAGATGTTATTTTGGGGTGCTGGAGTTGATATGATTTCGGCCTTACCCGTTCGCACACATTCCATGTTCACCGTTAGTTATAGAAAACTGTGATCGTGTTGACAAACCGTGTGCGAAACATGTCAATGTTTTCTGTGTGATATGTTTGTGAAGGCCTTGATTGTTGTTGTTGTTGTTGTTGTTGTTGTTGTTGAATAGATGTAATAGTTTGGAGTTTATGTGTTGATGTGAATGTTTGTAAATTGTCGTGTAGTGTTTGTGGTAGGTGTTGTGTATGAGTGAGTGTGTGAATGTGTTTAGAATAGTTGATTGTTTGATTGATTGATGTATGGATGTGTGGATGAATTGATGTAGTTGAGTGTGGATGATGTATTTATATTTTGTCTGGAGTTGATGTAATTTGAGTGAGATAATTTTGTAATTGTGACTATGAGTAAAATGAGAATGGTTATGTGATAGTAGACAGTGTCAATGCACCTTGATGTTGTCGATCGACTGATCGTGCGATGTCGGTGTAATTGTGACAGGGTATTTATAATGCAGAGGATGTAATTGATCTTTCTGCTAACCCACTGTCTTAAATAGATGTTATTTTGGGGTGCTGGAGTTGATATGATTTCGGCCTTACCCGTTCGCACACATTCCATGTTCACCGTTAGTTATAGAAAACTGTGATCGTGTTGACAAACCGTGTGCGAAACATGTCAATGTTTTCTGTGTGATATGTTTGTGAAGGCCTTGATTGTTGTTGTTGTTGTTGTTGTTGTTGTTGTTGAATAGATGTAATAGTTTGGAGTTTATGTGTTGATGTGAATGTTTGTAAATTGTCGTGTAGTGTTTGTGGTAGGTGTTGTGTATGAGTGAGTGTGTGAATGTGTTTAGAATAGTTGATTGTTTGATTGATTGATGTATGGATGTGTGGATGAATTGATGTAGTTGAGTGTGGATGATGTATTTATATTTTGTCTGGAGTTGATGTAATTTGAGTGAGATAATTTTGTAATTGTGACTATGAGTAAAATGAGAATGGTTATGTGATAGTAGACAGTGTCAATGCACCTTGATGTTGTCGATCGACTGATCGTGCGATGTCGGTGTAATTGTGACAGGGTATTTATAATGCAGAGGATGTAATTGATCTTTCTGCTTGTTTATGTCAGTTCCTTGGTGTTTTTTTCTCTTTCTTTTTTTTAATCAATGTTTTTTGTGTTATTTTCGCGCTTTTCTTTGAATGTGGATATTCGTTTGTCTGTTTGTCGTTTGATATTTTTGCGTCTTATCTTTCATATGTTTTATTTTATATTGACTGTTTTTTGAACTGTTTTTCCTGTTTTTATATTCTGAACATTATTTTTCTGTTTAGCAATAAATTTCGTTCATATTGGTTTATTGGTATACTATTTTTGATTGTTTATCTTATGAATTTCTTTCTTATCGTTAGTGTTACTGTTGTGTTGTATAGTTCTATAGTAATTTATCACTGCTTTTCTTTGGCTTGTTGCTTTGACTTTTTTTCCTTGTTTACCTGTGATTGTTTTTTGTGGTTTTCATTGCTTTCTTTCTTTTAATGTTAGGAAATTGTTCATGCCAATCCTAGATTTCATGGTATTCTTATAGGACGACACGCATCGAATATAACACAGTTTCGCCGCCGTCATAATGTGGAATTAGTGTTCCCAGATCGTTTTGAATCCGATCCAAAATTGGCTTGTGAAATTCGAATTGTTGGTACTAAATCTGCTGTGTCGGAAGCGAAACATGAATTGGAAGGTGTTGTAAAATCTTTGGTAATTATATACTATTATCGATTTTCTTATGCTTTTATTGTGAATATCAATGGTTTTTCTTTAAAAATTATTTTTTCTGCCTTGATAAGTAGTTTTTATTATGAAATAGATTGTGGAGATAAAGTATTTTCTTTTTTGTATATTCCTCGTATGTCGGAGAAAATACGATGTGATTGGTCAATGTGTGAACATCTACACATTCAATTGCGTAGATCTTGAAGACTATGTCAGACTTTGACTTCTACTATAGATCTACTTCATGTTGACCGCTTATATTTGATGTCACTGGAATATTTATATCCGAGTTCACATCACCACTTATGATACTCTATTGCCTGATGTCTCGAACAAATGCCGATCTAGTGATCTCGTACCTGGTCTTTTGTCTAGTGTATTGCCAAGTATCGTATTGTTTCGCATCTTTTATCCTATATATGTCTAATAGGATTGAAGGTCATAATTCTCTGTTATACCACTACTACACTTGATCGTTACAGTTTTGAAATTACTATCATTTGTCTTACTTCAAACCTAGGTTAGTTATAATTGTATTTTTCATCGTAAACTGCATTATCTAAAATCAATTCTTCATTAGATACTTTATTTTTCATTGTGAAATTTCCATCAAATTTCTTTAATTTTCATTCATGTGTATGAAAATCTTATCAGCTCTTTTTTTCATAATTCCAGTATGGAAGACATTGAATATTGAATAATAGGCACGGTCACACGTTTATCCAATCTCCTCTCTTCGCATAAAGATATAATTCCTATGAAGAGTGATGTGTAAGACAGTTAGAATTGCATTTTGGCATCTGAATAATTGGTGTTTAATTATTTTTATGGAAAAAAGAGACAGGAGATCCAGTTCTTCCCGGGAAAAGCAAAATCAATTACCGGCTGTATACGGCATCGGCCTCATGACTTCCGAAGGAACTCGGCTTTCATCATGAGACGTCATAACTTTTCCTTCAACTAGCAGGGCAGAATTTAAATGGTTTGAATAATTTTTTTCTGGTTAGCGTTTTTTAGCGAGTTAGTTTTTTTTACGTGATGGGGGTCGCTAACCCCTTGCTCAACCCTTCTCCTTTATCCGTTCTTGTAACCGGCGGTAGTCCCTGGAGGAGCTACAGGCGCTGTTAGATAACATCATTTACCAGGTAAAAATTGGTGTACTTGATTTTGAGTCACAATCGAAGTGTAAGAGCTATTGAGACTTATCAGTTGTTCAAAACACAGTAAGTGAAATAAAGTTCGGATCTTAGACTTATTGTTTAGAAATCGAATCCCTTAAATAATTAGCTACCGCTTCATGCAAAGCAGTCAGTACTCACAGGCATGTTCAAACATGTTTAGTGTGAAACGAAACTTTAGATTATATCATTATGTGCTATTTTATTTCCTCATCTCTCGTTTATTTCGTTTCTTTTTGTAGGAAGACGAAGTGGAAAAATCAATTCCAGTTGATCCATCTATATTGAAAGGAATTAACCAGTATCGTCGCAATTTTCCGAATTCCGATTTAGAAACTGTCCGTGTAATAATGCCCCGTTACAATAATCATGTACAATCCAATCCAGAAAATTCAACTGAACATTCCACTGAGCCTTTGTATATTAAATTAATTGGCTCTAAAGCATGTGTTGAAGTATGTTTGGGTGTGTTTTCTTCAAATCAATATTATTTTTATGTATCACACTGCACAACTTTTTTTTAGTTCATATATTGTAGATCTTTTCTCAACAACAGTCATTTACAACAAATCTTTGATATTCAAAAATTCTGTACAGTTCACAACTAGTTATATGTTTGCTTTTATATTCATTATTTTTTGCAGTTTATATTACGAACCGATCTTGATTATACCACCATTAAAATCCTGGAAAGACTGGATGGACGTCTCGTCCTTGTGTAAGACAGGCCCCGGTACGGATGATATTGAGCATAATCCCCTTCTCTCGAAATGTCTTCATATGGCCACACGTATATAGCCACTGCCACGGAAGTCATACAGAATTCCTTCTCGTTGCGGGGGTGTTGTTTACGAAATTGAGAGGACGAAAAATGAATGTTCGGCGCTTTAACCGGGTTGGTGGATACGAAGGAACAACCCAGGAGAGTTGAAGCACTGAATCAAACCAATAGGCTTCATGACTTATGAACCAATTGTTGGTCACCGGCTACCATGGAACTGCATCTCCTAACATTGCTCCACTCTCTTATAGATTAGAATTATTGATCAAAGCTTGGGGAACGGCTTTATAGGGAAACTACCTGTTTCTTTTTTAGCACCCAAGCAGCCGACACACAAATTAGTGCTTTATGTGGCGCATATATGTTTTGGTACTTCTTTGTACGGATGTTTATGCGTTTATATAAATAAATAAAATTATATATATATATATATATATATATATATATATATATATATAATTTTTGACTGTGAGTAAATTCATTTAGTTAGTTTTACAACAGTACCATGTCTTTCACCGTAATCAATTGGGGGTAATTATATAAATTCATCAGAGCACATCCGCGACGTTGACATAAAAAATCAAGCCCAGAGCCTTCCGTCTCACGGGCAAGCACTCAACTTTAATTTTTGTCCCATCAGCCGAATAAACAAGTAAGGAGTAGGAGGGGAATTAAAGTATAGTGCAGTAAATTGTCGTTTACTTGCAATTAAATTTAATAAGTGACAGATCAATTAGGAGTTATTCTTTTTATCTTTGGTATCGATTCCTCTAAGTGACCCTTTATTTTTGACACTAATAAATTATTTTTAAGCTACGTTGGCTGTCTTAAGTTTTTTTTTGCTAGTTTTCACTTATTAACTTGACAACAAAAGCTCAGTAACACGAATCAACACACTTTAATGAGTTCTGTTAATAGATACATGCAGACATACAATTAACTTGATAGTTAACACGCTTACCCAGGTAGATATTCGTGTACTTGATTTTGAGCTGCTATGATACCAATTAGTTGCACAAACCTGCGACTTTGTGACCGAACGTCAAATGCATTAATCCATTCAATGTACCAGAAACCAACTTTAGAGTAAAGCTTCGATTGTATTACCACCTTGTAATCTGTTGAAGATTTAGTATTTAATGAATTATCGGAGGCGTCCGATGCTTGGACTTAACTGTTGGGTATGTCAAATCCCCAGAACTTACTTGGTAAATGGCTTAGTTTTGTAATTTTATTTTGAAAATTTGAATTTGGCTGTTTTCGCGCCAAAAGCGCTCTTTTACCTTCACGTCATATTTCCCACTTGTAAACTATCTTAAACGCTATTGGTCCATTGTTTCTTTGTATGTGCTACTTACTAATAATGCTCAAGGACAATTTGTTGCTGTATAAGTGCGCTTGACTTTTTCCCTCATTCGATTGCTTGTACTCGGCTGCTTACGGAATACATATATAACTTCCCCGCTCCAACTTGGACTTCTTCATCTAGTTAGCGGGGCCTGGGTCAACAGATTAGAATAGCTTATCGTGTCATTGTGTCATTGGCTTTCGTTCGTTACCGCGGAATCGATTTAGTTTCAAGCATAACATTAACATACTTCATATTCCATTTGTTATGTTCCTAACATTACTCTGACATTTGTCTGGATAATTACATTTCACCATGTTGATATGGAGTCGCGTACATCGCCCCATGTATCTCAGGTCCAACGTTTCTTATGATTGATAAACTGTTATATGTATCAACTCTTGTCAAAATAAATGTAAAAATAAATATATATTTATGAATATTTTCTTTTCTAATTAATAAAATAAAAGACTGCAGCTGAAGTTTTGCAACAAATTATCAAAGATATGCAAGAACAAGTAGTTCAAGAATTTCCTTTCACTGATCCTAATCATATTTCTGTGTTGGAACGCAATCGTTCACATCTACCGGAACTCGAACGATTATATAGAGTGCAGATTAGATTTAGTCGTTCATTTGATAATTCTGACTTCGATAATTTCTCAACATTTGATGAAAGATCAGTTAATCAATCAGGTAAATGTTTATAATTTGTAATTTTGTTCTAATTCGTTTTTCTTTTTTTCCTATAAGTAATAATGATAGTAATAACCCATAGATCTTTCACCGACTTGCCTTCTCTGTGTCAATATAACCATTTGATTACTAAAAAAAATACTAGGTTCAATATTAGTTAAATTTTACATAAGTTGGTCACTAAGTAGTGACCATTGTCGTGTTTGTCTAGTCCTTAGTGTTGATTGAGTTGCGACCGGATCAATAGAATTCAATTAGCACTAAGGAAAAGGGGAAACATAACATCGACCACTACTTGATGGTCATTCACTCGTGAATTCCTCAATTCTACAGGAGTTCAGTCTGTTTGAAAAGCCCAGAGGGTTATATCTCAGAACGTAGGACTGGATAACTCGGGTTCTTTGAAGTGTTCTACCCACCTGTTCTGTTGTTCTTCAATGCCGGTGATGACCTTGCCTTTCTTGCTTTTCACTGGTCGTTCTGGTTTATGATAATTTCCAGCGAGTTTCTTTGTTGTATCGTACAATGGTCTCATGTTTCTTTCTGTTGCAGCCTTTTCCACTGTCATTGCTAGATCTACCACATATTTACGTTTGTCGGCTCTGATGCTCCTCTTCACTTGCTTGTTTACTTCTGTGTATTCGCCTTGTGCCTTTGCTTTCTCTGCTCTTGTTCTCCTGATGTTGATTACTGCTTTCTTGTTCCTATTCTATGCATCATATGAACATAGTTGTTTTAGGCTGTATCTCAGCGTCTAAAGGTTCCAATTTTCAGTTATTTAATCTTAGGTTCGAGCCTTACTCTACCTTAGACACTCTTGTCACTTGGGCATTATCTGTACATTGGTTGGTGAGTTGATAATAATATTAGTGATAAATTAATAAAGTAAGCTATGTTTTTTGATTTTATGCCAAATTTTCACACTATTATACACTAATCGACCATCAAGTACAGTAATTGATTGTTCTCATTCTGATTATATTTTCTTTCTTTATTTGATTCTTTTACCAGAGTTTCACCCTGTTTCTGGCATTCTTGTGATAACAGGCGTACAAGAACGTATTAATCAGGTATTTGAAGAAGGCATAAAGCCTCTTCTACCTATTGAAGAAACATTCCCAGTTCCTCAGGAATTTCATCGTAATTTAATAGTTACTACATCAGATACAACACGTGAACAGTCACGTCGTTCATTGCGTGGCAATAATAATAGTAATAGTAATAAACGGAATAATAATGTGCCTGAACAAGTGACAAATATAACTGCAGAAACCTTACCTAAAGCCATGGAAATCAGGCAAAAGCATTCTGTATGTATAATCTTTTATTATATCTTAAGTGTGTAATTTATTTGCATTAATGAATTACTGAATGGTTCATCAATATCATATTTGCTTAGTCTTTGTTATTTCTGTTTTGTCTCTCTTAATGTACGTGTCGACACTTTATGTCCACAATTTTACTGCTTTTATTTGACCATCGGGATCCACTGCAATTCTCATGAGGTAAACTGAAAACACAAAAGATTGGTGTAATGGGAACTTATGAATTCTTTAAAATCATATTGCTATTCAACCAAAATGCAATCATTTTTATATACTAATGTTTACACACACTTTTAATAATATCACATTTAATGGGAAATACATAGACTTACTGTTAAAAAAATCATACTGAATGAATATGGAGAATATAGTTGTCACATTGAACGAAAGTTTAGACTTATCGTATTGAACAAAGTTCACACTGAATTCATACAAGAAATATTAACCTCAAAACATCACATTGAACAAAGTTCATAAAGAATTTGTGCAAAAAGTATAGATTAAAATAATGTAGTCGTTTTATCCTGTCATATCAGTCTTCGATGTTGATTGTATTCTATCGATCAAGTTGAACTGTGGTTGTTAGTCTAATTGACTTGATACTATATTCAGCATTTTTTTAGTAGGAAGGTCTGAACCTAGGTCAGCTACAATACAAATAGCTTGATGGTTGTGACAATGAGTGTTTGAATATCACAGGATGTCTTCGTTTCCTCAAGATTTCAGGTACTATTCACACTCGTGTGTGTTAACTAACACAAATCTTAGATTTTCCAACTACCTGACATATGACTCATTCTAATTTAACGTGCATTCTTTTATGATAGTACAGATAAAATGTCTGAGGTTATCGGCCTGATAAATTATTGGGTGATCAAATGACTGGTTTTCGACTGAGTAATCATTGAGAAACAGAATCAGTGCCCAGCTGAATGAACATTATATGGATGATTTAAAATTGTGTACACAAAATATTCAGTCGAAGTGGTGTGACTATTTACATTATTTACTTTATCAGGTCAAGTAAACGGTTAAATGAATAGTTGGAATATGAAGATCTTGAACTAATCATTTGTAGTTCTGCTTGTCATATCATATAATATAAATGAAGCACACTATTGAATGAATGTGATCAAATATTTTCATTCAAATTGATCGAAAACATTTGTAATTAGGTGTCAGACGATTTTCATCCTTGTTCAAATGAGTCTTTTTAATCAGCTTGTTTATTTTAAGTTTTATAGTGGAATTGTGAATGGATTTACAATTGGATATCATCATGGGAAACTACTTACCCACATTGTTAGTAGTATCAACGAGCATTGATCCTAGTCTGTAGATAATTCTCATTATCAACTTATACTATGTAATCTATTTAATGCTGAAGAAATTTTAATAAGGGAGTTGTAGGTGATTTGAAAGAATATTTTCCAATAAATTATGATGAAAATTGTATCGGTTTAATGTAAACGGGTAGATATTCGCCATGGTCGTCTTCTTTATACGTTCTAGTGTTAACATATTCAAACAAATAATTACTATCTATATATTCAGTTATCTTAATGTTTTTTATTTTCTTTTAGGTTAATATACGTTTGCCACCTCAACATGCTTCTGGTTCCGACTACATTTTTTTACGTGGTACACCAGCGAATATAGAAGCAGCTAAAGTTGATCTAGCTGATTGGTTACAACAATGTGAGCTAATGAAAGCGGATAAAATTGCACGAAGTTATGAAACAGTTGTAGAATTTCCTTATAGATTCTTATCAAGTATTCTTAGCATAAGAGCTGATCTCTGCTCTAAACATGATGTTGGTATTCGTGTAGACACTGGTGGTAGTAGTAGTACTACTACTAGTAATAGTAATAAAAGTTCAGTAGTTCTAAAACCGTCAACGCCAGAAGATTCATCAAATGACAACAATAGTACTGAAATCAGTGATGAAATTGCTTTCTGTGGTATTTCGAAGCCTATAGTAGAAGACAGTAGCAATAATGATAATAACAATAATGTAAATGATGAATTATCATCGACAGGATCGCCTAAAGAGAAACAAGCAAAAATTATTCTACGTGGTTATCAGGAACACGTATCTGCAGCAAAAATTGAACTCGAGAACACTATTAACAAATTGTTAGCTGAAGTCACTGAGAATTTATTCATTCCTGTAGAGGTATATAAATGTGTGCTATAAAAAAATTTTTTTGGGATTGCTATCTGATGTTAGAATGTTAGGATTTCTAAGCATAATATTGTTAAGAAGGGATCAGTTAATTATAAACCTTCATTTGCATGTCCGAATCTCCTAACCCCATTTACACTTTCTTATGTATAGTCCATTGCCGACTGTACAGAGGTGTGACGGCAGTAAGATGTTTCCTTCAGACAACCAGCATAGCAGCGATGCTGACTTCCCACAAGGAGTAGTAAGGTTAGAAAAGGTCGACCCTAAAAATACACACCTCGCCTTATCCCACGGATTTCCGTCTCCGGCGGTAAGGTCCTTTGAAGAACGGAGCTAACGCGTCAAAAATCCCCCACAAAAAGGCCGTGCGTGACCGGTGTCAAGCAGTTGTCCCTTGGACTCTGCGGTCACGCCCTCAGGTCGTTAAGATCAACACTAATCCAACTTCATTTTCAGGTCCCTCAAGAAATACCCTTTCGTGGTGTGGGCAGCCGGGAAGTGATATTAGCCATCATACCCGTAACAACACATGAGACCAAGTTGGTCATATTCAAATCCTTCCTACACCTAGTAACTCTCTTATCTCCACGACTAACCCATCCCACGTCCTTTTATCACCTCGCACCACGTTCTAAACTACATGTAGGAACTTTTAATGTCCGAACATTGTGCCAAATAGGACAACAGGCCTCCTTAGCTAGGACTTTAGAATCTCGCTCCATCAATGTGTGCTGCGTCTCCAAAATGTGCATACAAGATCCGAGTAGCGTCATTCATTTGATCTCACCATATCAAAATAAAGAACCATCTCAATACACGCTTCGTGTATCTGGAAGTCCTGATGCTGCTTCCCGTGGCCTCGCTGGAGTAGGTATAGCATTAAGCCCTAGGGCAGAACTAGCTCTTTTAGACTGGATCCCAATAAACAGTCGTCTATGCTCTGTCCGACTAAACGGAACAGTAAGGACTCGGAAAGTTAGGGAAACTCGTCGTTGCCTATTCGTCGTCTCTGCCTACTCTCTCATTGACTGCAGCTCTGGCTAACTGTTAGTGATATCCTTTAGTTTCATATAAAAATGCAGGGTAACATATTTTCGCTTGTACGTGTAAAGTAATAATAAATAGATGTTCGAAATAAGCAACGCGACATGAATAAGATGTATGGACACTGATTAATAACAACTTATTCAGTCAGTTATGATTAATGTCGAACTAGACACAGATAGATGTACGTTGGCCCAGGTTGCCATATCGCATTAGCACGAGATAAAATTAATCTGTTGCATTGCAAAAGAAATTGAAATATTGAGGTAAAGATGACAATAAAAAAAACTCAGAAGTAAGAATATGGTTCGATAGGACACAGTGGGAAAGTATAACGGGTTATTGGAGTTCGAAATCGAGAGAAAGATTTACGCGTCTACGCCTTTGTTAGCGATCCTGAACCATATCACTCAAAGTCAGCAGCGACTGATCACAGCTATTATAGGGACCACTTCAATCACGTTGTTTAAACTTACCTATACAACTGTCATATCCGCGAACTTTTATATAGTTTTTACTCAAAAACGAGGAACCACTACCATTGCCATGAAGTAAAAACACAAAAGTCTGATACAAGTAAAGATGTATTCATTGAAAAACACAACAACCCTATCATTTATTTATCGATTTTTAAATACACTTGATTAATTATTAGAAAAAGTCACATCTATGCAAAATGCCAGAATTAGAACAAAGTCACATTCTGTTTATTGTGCTTAGCATAGTTCATGTTAATTTTATACAAAAACTATCATACTGGCTAGAATTCACACTGAAAATAAAGCGAATATGATTTTGAACAGTTATCACATCAAACTTAAGTTCACACTTATCATGTTGAACAAAGGTTATACTGAATTTATTCAAGAATTATTTACGTTAATGATACCATCTTTTTATTTTGTCATATCAACTACTCACTCTAACAGTCAATATATGCATAAACTAATGACTTGTCTAAGTTTACTCATACTTAACTCTCCTAGAACCTACTCCTACATCAGCAGACATCTGTCGAGATATATGGTGACTAGGCATATGTAACACATGTTCTAACCACCTCAGTCGATGAAGATTTATCAACTCGTTAACTGATTTATCACCTATTCCTAGTACCCTGCACTTAACACCAACATTACTCACTTTAAAGACACCTGTAATCAAAAACCTGTCGCCTACATATGACTTCTACTTTCAAAGATAATGTTTCATGCGGTCGAATCCGCCAGGGAGCACCAGTTCCTTCAAGATTATAGGTGTCAAATAACATTAAAATCCTAGGTTCAGGGTTCCTTGTCAACTACCTAATATTGTAAATTTGCAATATTACAAAGTAATGAGAGTCTTGTTTGCGTATATTTATTCTTTTCTGTCTATTTTTAACATTTAGACACATGCTCGACTGATCGGTGCTAGAGGTAATGCTATTCAAAAAGTCATGCGAGACTACAACGTACGCATTGAATTCCCTAGTAGACGAAATATTAATAGCGCTAACGAAGATGGTAATACTGTATTAGTAACGGGTGCACCAGAAAATGTTGATCAGGCATGTGATTATTTGATTTCCAAAGCAAATGAATTTGTAAGTTTTATTTTACTGTTTTTTTATTCATGTCAATATGTGTGATTTTGCCAAATTAAAAATTAATATCTTTTTTTTGTGCTGTTTTTTAATTCTATCATAATGAAAGGAAATTTTGCGATAAATAACGTAAAAGAATGATACTGATCCGCTAATACCCATTTTATGTAGTGTAGTTATATTATATTAATATAAGAATATGTTGAAAAGTGTTTGTTTGTTCTTCAATTTTCCTTGGATTTCTAAAGCTTAGTAAAATGTATACACTATCTGAAATCAATCAGTCATATGCAACGTAGAATTTGGCACGTTCAAGTTGCCAAACCATGTTCGTAGAGCGTGATGAAATTATCTAGACAAATCTTAGTGTAGTGGAAGTAATAACAGTATCAGTAATAGTAGACAAGGTTAGATAATAAAAAGAAAAATGGTATAAGAAGATTTAATTATTCATGATCTAGACAAAGAGATACTTTTTTTCTATACGCATATGATTTATGTGTGGGTACCCGGGCAGTATCATAGCCCTCATACAATTAAAATGAAATCACAATTTTTTTGTGTGGCGCATATATATCTGGTGCCCCCTTGTACCAATATTTATGTGTTCAAATAAATAATATATATGTCATTATTGGTCTTATGTTAATGGGTCTCTCACTTTATTCTTCGAAGGAGGGTTATTGTATTTGTGTATTAGGGCTTTATGTTTCATCCGTAGAATTCATGAATTTCTCCCTATCCCCCTCTCCCTCTTGTTTAAATGTAATGTTTTCTGGTTAGGTTATGGAATCACATTTGTATTCTGTCTTGTTTTTTAATTACTTTTGAATGAACTTCCATTTTTATATTCATCATTAGTAACTAACGCCATTCATTTATTTTCTATTTTGTGGAAAGCAACTTTTTTACTTGGCTTTGGCAGTCATTCATATATTTTTCTTGACCAGTTTGATATACGATGTGCTTCGTTAGTTTTATTCTTTTAGAATTTATTTTTGGTATAAATAAGCAAATTTTGTTACTGAGTATGGTTTTGTGAACATTTTATGCCCCTCAAAGATAGTTCTCATCAATAACTATCAAATATCAATAAGGAATAATTAGTGAACATAACAAACGTATCATCATAGTCTCTGGGACATCTACATCACACAGCGACCTCTACACGTGAGATCACAGTAGTAATTTTAAATTGCCATGTCACACTCAGTGGACTAGTAACGTTATTGTAGTGGAACCCAAATGGCTTCACCTTTTACAGTTACATTATTTCTGTGATATACCACGATTTCCACTCAATATCATAAGGAATGCATAATTATCTAGTTATCCAATGATTTGATCATCTATAAAATCATGGCTTCTCATCAGAACATCGAAAAATCTACCTATGAGCAAATACTGTAATTTTTTTCTAGGATTAATGTCCTGAACTACTACTTACTACCTGAACTTTTTCTCAACAGTAATGTCAGTGTTTTGTGCGATAAATATTACATTCAAATTATTGTTTCCTGAGATGAAGTTAACTAATATTTTGTTTTTAGTACATACTATGATTGGATTTTCTATTTACTTATTCGCTCTCTTTCTGTTTGCATTTTCATAACGAATAAAGATTGCGCAAAGTGGATTGTCCAATACTAGGCAACGATTGTTTGAAGAAGAAATTTAAACATCCATCTATGTTGTTCTATGTGGTTATTGACAGCAATCTATGCTGTTATTTTTCGTTTGTATACCCTGGACACAGAGTTGGATACATTCATCGTTATTGTTGGTTATCATCACACCATCTTTTGTCTACACTCAATAAAGAAATTGATTTCCTTGGACAGAAATCACTAAATCACAAAAAAGTGTATTGTGTGCCTTAATCTTCTGATTTTTTTATTGATGACATAAACCATTTATTTTCATTTTATATATATTTATGTATTTGTGTGTCTGTTTGTTAGTTTTCTTATCTTCAGCACTATCTCTCTTTCCTCCGTTTTTTTCTTTGATTAAAGCTGTCCATTTTTTCCCCACTATTCCCTCTATGTAATTGATCATTACACACATGAATAAGGTTTTGTTATTGCATGGACGATATTGTTATGTTCTCATTCATCATTCATTTGATTGCATATATGGATGATGAAATTACAAACCACAATGCTAATAAACAAACAAATATCTTTCTTTACTCTCTGTGTGTTTATTTATTTTTATTTCTCTATTCATTTATTATTAATCTATAAAATTACATGACTAACTGGTCGACTGGTAGTAAACCTGTACTAGAAAATTCACACATGAATTTCTGTGAAGACAATGCTATATTTTGTTCTGTTATGATTGTTGATGTTTATTCTTTTCTGTACTATTTTGGTTTACATTATAATACTAGCCTCTCTCTCTCTCTGATAAACACACTTTTCTTTCGAATTCCAATTAAAACAAAACAGAAAAAAATATTCACTAAAAAGAAAATGGTAACAAGGAATAAAACAAAACACTTTGGATGATTTTGAACAACAATGACAAAATGACAGCAAGTCAAAGGTGTCTCATGTTATTTGATTGCCTTTTTTCTTTAATAAATTTCTGTAGTGTACTTTTTGACTTCTAATATACATACTTATATGCTTATTGTTCTGACACAAAGTGTATGCTATTCATACGGACAGATATAAGTAGGATATATCAAGAATTGGCAATAGGATTCTTACTGACAACTTTTAAATTAATTCCAAATTGTGACTGATTCTATACTGTTGTTTATCACTGACTAACCACTACCACTACCGCAACTTATTGGTTATAGATGAGCCTTCCGACTGTAAAACAAGATGGACTAATTGGTTGATTAACTAGTACTTTTGTCAGAAATAATGAAGTTAGTTAATTCAAAGGAACTTGGATTAGTATAAAGGTGGTATTGATAATAAAATATATTTTTCCGCATAGAAAGTTGATTAGTTGTTTATTATCATGTCATGTGTGTTAAGAGCTGTAATGATTGATTTCTATAGATTAAATGACAGTCAGTATGGTATGTTTACAATTAATTGATCACTGAACATTGAACCATAGCATGGATTTCAAGTCTTCCTTAATGCTGATTGAATTCTATTGATCAAGTTACGATTTAGTTACCAGTCTAAGTGACTCTACACGCACTATATTGAAATATTAGGGGAACTTAGCATTCATGATACTGGTCAATGCTCAGTGACCAGTCAATTGTAAGTATATTTTAGTCTTACAAGAAGTAGTCGTGGTCTGAATAGTTCAGTGGTGACGTCTCCGACCGTACAGCATGGTGGCAAGGGGTAGAATTCGTCATGAAGCACTAGTCCCTTCAAAATTCCAGGTAAACTGTTATATCCTAGTGAATATTAAAATCCGTGTAACTTCCGAAGACTATTAATGGACCAATATTTCTGTGTTAATGTGGTATGGCAATTCGAACTGATGTACGTACGTACGAAGTTCTACGTTGCGACTGACTGAATGGACTAATATCATATATTCTTAATGTATAGCTGTATACGTATGTATTCTTAATATATATTCCTATTTTATAACTATTCAGTAACTAGATAACGTATATCTGTATTTCTCTCATTATAAGCTTCATTTTGACCTATAGATTATTATACTATTTACTGTTCGTAATTATAATCAGTTTATTAATTACCGTCTCACACACAACCACATTTTGGCTTGATCTTGTACAAATGTTATTTTTTATTTGATGATGATGTGGTCTGTTTTGTCTAGTATGTAAACCAAGTATGCTTGGAATAAATGATTCGCATAGTAGGAGCTGTTATTAGTGTTCTGAACTCAACTGGACGGGCTAGGCTGACAAAGGACCAATAAGTTCGCTAGACTGCTCATACCGGTCGAACGTCATTAATTTCGCAGTGTTAAGATTAGACAAGTCGTACTCCGATTGGTGGATAAATCACGTGATCAAAAGCCGAACATAAGACCACAACAAATTGGCATACGGCCTTGTTCTTTTTTCAAAATTCATAACAAGTTGGTTCTAGATATATTGCAAAGTAATTTTTAGAGCAGTGTTTATTAGAAATGAATGTTTGTGTATGTTAATCACTGAGTAGTGGTCAGTATCACGTTTGTTTAGTTCATAGTGCTGACTTAATTCTAATGACCAATTTGCAACGTGGTCATCAGTCGAAGCAACTTAACATTGTATGGATTATATTTTGATGTTAGGTGGCTGGAGTAAGTTGACAGGAAACTCCGAATCTAGGTTTCATGCTGGTCGGCATTTCAGCATGATATAACCACCAACCGCCCCAATATATATATATATATATATGACAAGTCAGCTGTCTATGCTTACCATTTTGACCAGTGTGGCAAACAAATCTCCGGAGAAATTCTTAATTACTTTAAGTATATTATCGATTCCAAAGTTACTTCATTCTGCATACTATTTTTTTCGGATTGTAACCATTTGAATAAAATTAAATAAGTAACGTCAGGAATAATAAGAGCATACAATGTGAGAATAGAGAAGATATATTTAATTTTCTTTGTACAAAAGATTAGGAATGTAAGTTACGATTCCATTTGAAGAAACAAAAGAAAGACGATTTAGAGTTTTATTTTTTTTATTAGTTATCTTCAAGAAATTTTTCCAGGGCATCATCATCTGTAGGTAGTATAATGATATTTTCATTAGATATTGACAAATTTTTATTGTTTTTTAAGTTTGTACTGAGTATACCTTCCTGCTGTAGGGAAATAGGAACAAAATTACAAAAAAGTTGAATTACACTACTGAATGTTCAAAGTGTAACTCATTTCTCAAATAAGGGTTTATGTAATCGACTTTTTTGAACGTAAGGTCTAGATTTGATTCAGGAACCTACCATTTCAAAAGCGGATAGCCCTAAACACTAAACCACTAATCAAGAAAAGTATAAGATAAAAAAATCAGTTAAACATATTTTTATGACGTGGTGATTGACGACTTATTTTAATGATACTATATGCACTTTCAGATTAAGTTAACTACTATTATGATGATCGTTAACCGTATCAATCATTCACTGAGTATTAGTGACCAATATCGTGTTATGTTCAGACCTCACTAATGATTAAATTCCGTCAGTGGCTTGAATAATTACTACTTAGTGATAACTGAAACATAAGATTATGCGGGGTTCGAGGTCTAAGAAGGTATCGGTTCATTCAGTAGTAGTGCATAAGTTAAAACTGTTTCCCTTCGACAATGTAGCTCAGTAAAAAGGTTGTAACGGATTACAGCAATAGGTTTCAAATCTCAGTGGAGAGGAAATGATCACATTGATAATTATGAACGTCAAATAATCCATGGAATGCAAATCATATACCAAGTTAGCAATAGATAATACTTAATATCAAAGAATATAATACAAGTCATGATAAGGATTAGATGTTCTCTAAAGCTTTATTAAAACATTCGAATAACTATTATTTATTCTCGCTATTACACATTATTAGCTTGATATTTCATGTGAGAAACCTATATATCGTCAGTAAAAATTCACACAAATAACAAATCAAAATTACAAGTTACAAAGTGTATCCGTGTATGTGATCAAGTTTGATTTTATTTCTTCGTTATAAATTGCGCCAAATTTAGAGAATACAAAAAAAAACTGGAACAATTGAATATTTCCAGTATTTGGCCATTGGTTTCAGTCAATCTATTAACAGTTAAGATCACTTAAACAGAAAAATGTTGAGTTTAACTAGTAATCTAATGATGATGACGACGGCAACAATAATACTACTAGTAATAATACTAATAGTAGTAATAATAATTTTAAAAATATGAATTTATTAAGGTACATATGGAAACAAACTTACTTCGTCTGTGTTCTTATTTTGTCTAGACTCAGATTTTCTCAGTTGTCCTAATGGTTTATAAGGAAGAAGAATAAAAATAAATGAACAGTGTAGAAAAAAGACAAAATTTAAGATAATAGATTTAACGACAGTAAGATTCAGAAGTGAATAAAATCGGTGACAACTGATAAATAATCATCATCAATTACATGCGTATGTTGGAACTACTGAATCCACAATACTGAGGTCAGATGTAAAGTACTAGGCAAAGATGGTAAACCGTCTGATTTTAATATCGTGAATCTTCAACAACTGAGGTAGTTGGGACATGTATTACGTATTCTCATTCACCGACTAACTTGACACACGAAGTTTATTGGTATGTGAGTAGGTTGGCAGGAAACTAAAAGCAACCAAATCAAGACGTTGGATCAGATCATGAATTCGCCTTCGTTAATCTGAAGCTTGTTGGTAGGTGCAAAATCAATTATCATGGCCAATTGTTATATATGTTGGGTAATATGACTCAAAATCAGTCATATTAGCGTAGATTTATTCACTCCTTGTTTTACCTTATATCTTGAGTTTCAACTTTATTTTATACAATCTATTTAGTGAATTCATTCTGCCTTTTCGAATGGTGTCTTTTTTACAGCCGCCTATACTAGTTCTAGTAATAACGATTTTAGACGCAGGGTATTAGGGAATGATGGTAAACAAGTTGATGAGGTTGTGAATCTTCATCGACTGAAATGGTTGGGCCACGTGTTACGTATGTCTGAACACCGATTACCACGACCGACGTTGCTGACTGATGTTAGGGATGGTTAGAAGAAAGTTAAGGGTGGCCAAATTAAAACGTGGTATCAGTCCACAAAGTCGCTAGCTTCTGGTCTGAGCCATGTTGGTAGATGCAGACTAATTGGTTGGAGTCCACATGACCATCGTAAACAATGGTTGGAGACTATGGGTGACATGACATGAGTCAATTGCAGATAGACAACCATGAAAAACTTGGAAGCACTGGAAGGCCGTTTCGTCCCATCGTGGGACTCCAAAGCAGTGCACATCCACGATTCCGCCTTGCGAGATCCGAACGCAGGACCTATCAGTCTCGTGCGCGATCGCTTAACCTCTAGATCACTGAGACAGCATTTAACGGTGCTTCCAGGTTTTCCATGGTGGTCTAGCTTCATTGGACTCATGAATTAAACTATAAAATTACTAAAATCTCCACAAAACCCCTTCTGATTATAACTTTCTACCAACTAATTTGTAATCACCGATACATATACATAATTATCGTCAAATAATATATATATATATATATATATATATATATATATACAAAGGTAATTCGATTTGAAAAAGGTAAAGAGATATAACAAGAAAATAAGAAGTGTAAGTTACGAATATATAAAACTGACCAGAATTTGCCATCGTGCCATCTATAGTTTTCAATTCGGACTTCTTGAACTGATTTGAATAGTCCAAATTAACTTTTTTCCCATGAGAGTAACACTGTGTAATCGATAAATTGGAGAATGATGTCGACAAAAAAAGAGAGTTAAAAAATTGACTTGACCAGAGTTAATATAAGTGAGGAAAGTAGGGAAAATACATGGAAACATTTTATTTTTCTTTAAATAGATTATTATATTAATTTAATCACAAAAAAGAGATAAACGGTGATGTAAATATTATGATAGCTAGGAAGAGAAACGACGAAGGCTAAGTGTGGACGAAACTACCTGCGTGATAGAGGTTTCATCAAAATTGCATATACTCCTTGTTGACAAATCCTAATTAGTGTGGAGTTTAGATCAAAGATGTTCTTTCTAAAGGTTACTTCTACCGTTTTAACATCAAAACATGGTGTACGCAATGTCTAACCGTATTGCTACATTGTAACTCGATCGTTATAATTTAATACAATTATTAAGGAGCAGTGATAATATAATACTGGCTATCTAAAATAGTGGCCAGTTAGTGTAACTGCCTGCTCAGCTAAATGATTGGTTGACCGACTGACTGATTCATTCATCATAGAATTCAGTAAAATAAAATTTGCATCTCTTCATATGTCGTCACACATTGTATCATCACACAGAAAGGATAATAAACCAAGTAATATTCTATTAATTCAAAGTTTAATTAGGTAAAAGTAATATCAGTACAATCGAATGGAAGTTGAAAATCTGTATGCAGTGAAAATATCAATTGAATGGGCTTCACTGAAACAAATGACTAAACAATGTGATGACAGTTAGCAGAGCAGATCATCGACCAATCAAACGCTAAACAATATCTGAAAGTGATTCAGTTCAAATTAATTAGAGTAGAAATGGTGCTTCAGTGTTAAGGCATGTGACTTTCAATCATCACGTTGAGGGTTTGAACCTGGTTCCACCTGTTTTGGACTGTGTAACCAAGTAGTTCAACGGCTTTCACACTGAGAGTTTGTTTTGAAGTCGAGTAAACTAATTTGCACATTATTTAGCTGTTTTGATACAGAATTATATCCATGAATTAATCTAACTTTACACATAGTATTTCACTGTGTCTGTCGATGATAATCAATCTGTAGTGTAAGCATAATATTAATCAATATCATTCTGTCTATTTCGTTAGCACTAATTGGAATGTATTAATTTAGTCTAAAATTAAACAAAAAAATGGTTGCTAAGCCAAACGTTGAATATATGAAGGAGATGGTCAGAAAACGTTCACTACAAAACACCCTTTTCGTACTTGTTCTAAGCGTAAATTCAACTGTAATTCATCCATTATTTCATGGGATAAATTTTCATTATTTTTGAAATGTAAATTATCATCAGTAATATTAAAAACATTGTCATTATCACTATTTGGAGTAACTGTTGCGTACGATTCCGTAGGTGATTCTGAATGATTATTAGTAGTAATATTGGTAGTATTGTTATTAAGATAATATATTTCATTATCAGCAGGATCAATTTCTTCACTGAATGCTATCACCATTGGATTCTGGTTCAACCTTGAGACAAAAATAATACGTATGTATATACCAATAAGTTATGCAGAATGAACAACTGGTAAATTTTCGGAAACAAATAAAAAGTAGCGCGTAATTTGATTAGTACAACATCTTTTAATAATTAACAGTAAAATTGGGTTGTTTGCTTTTTTCTTCATAATCAGTGGTTCATTATTTGTTTTTTTTTATGGATATATAGAGACAAGCATCATCAACATTGAGAGTATAACAGATGTGCGATGGCCCAAGTTCCTATATCACTGGATTGGCATAACAAGATGAATATCATGAAAGTGATTGAAATCATGTATCGGCAATGATTAGAAAAACTAAACCTTTGGGATATGGTTTGAAAAGACAGGGTAGAAAGGTATTTATCAACGGTTTACTGGAATTCGAGATAGAGAAGACACATTTGTGCCATTGTGAACAAGTCTGAGCCATATCATAAGAAGTCTCCAACCGCTGATAGCCGTTCAACAGAAGTCATATCAATTTAAGGCTAACCGTTTAAAGATAACCAGGGGAAGAATAGAGAAGTTTTCAGCTTACCGGTACCAGTCAATAAGAGATTTTTCAAACCTTAAGGAGATAATGGATGGAAATTTAGATCCATAAGGACCTATACAATCACATAAGTTGAAATAAGCTAGTTGATTGGAGGTAAATCACTTTACTTATTGGCCGTGAGCCCCCAAGTGCCCTGGTACGGCCGAGAGTGGGGAGAGTCCGCTCTCCCTCTCAAAATGCTCTCACATGGCCACACGAATATATAGCCTCTGCCAGGGAAGTCCTACTCACTGCCTTCTCGTGGCGGGGGTGTTGTTTACCAAACTGAGAGGACGAAAAGAGAATGTCCGGAGCTTTAACCGTGTTGGTGGACACGCAAAGTTCACCTAGGGGAGTTGAAAAACCCTGATTCCAATGGTGCACATGGGCTCCAGTATCCTGATGGAACGAATGGCGTATGAACCTGTTGTTGGTCACCGACTACCATGGAACTGCATCTTCTCACGATGCTCCACTGCCTTGTGGACTAGACCTTCAGGTCAAAGGCTCGGTGTGTGGCCCCCTAAGAAAACCACCTGCTTTAGTCTGGGCACCTGGGCAGTATCACAGCCCTCACATAAATCAAGTGAGATTTGTAAGGCGCATATTTATCTGGTGCTTCCTTGTACCAATATTTACGTGTTTAAATAAATAAATATTGGCCGTAAATGAGTATGATGATAAGTAGTTACAGAAGTATGGGTCGAAAATTTTGATGTTTAATTCTTGTTCCTTTACCGTTATCTGATATTTGTTAGAACATTTTACATGTCTTGATGATAGTTTTATTAATTTTGTAAACAAGTTATTAGTTCGTTCAATTTAATAGTTATTTGTGTTTCCGAATAACTACCTACACAGGTGATCAATGTTGATTGGAAGATGTCTGGAAGTAATGGACACATGTTCTATGGTTGAATGCTATTCATTACTAAATCATTCGGAACAGTATATGTTCATTCATTCTTTGTTTTCTACTGAGTCATACGTTAAGCATCATCTAATACTTGATATTCTTCAATTTTATTTATTACTTTCCAAATATATTTCAATGAACAGTTGTTTCGCCCTAGTATGTAAATTCTACTGAGGATGGAATTCAGGACCTTTAGACCTCGTGCTTCGCGCCTAACCTTCAAACCAATAGCTTACATATCTGACTTTAATCAGTCCGCGATGCTGTACAAAATCAGATGAAAGACGCAGTAGACGCCGAACTAAGGGATCATCAGGCTGGATTCCGTAAGGATCGGTAGTGCACAGACCAGATTGCGACACTACGGATCATCGTTGAACAATCAGTTGAGTGGAACTCATCACTATACGTCAACTTTATTGACTATGAGAAGGCGTTTGACAGCGTGGACAGGAGAACATTATGGAAACATCTTCGACACTATGGAGTTCCTGAAAAGATTGTCAACATTATCCAAAACTCATACGATGGATTACAGTGCAAAGTGGTGCATGGAGGTCAGCTGACAGATGCATTTCCAGTAAGGACCGGAGTCAGACAAGGCTGTCTACTCTCCCCATTTCTCTTCCTTCTAGTGATTGATTGGATTATGAAGAATTCGACATCTGGAGGGAAATACGGAATACAATGGACAGCTCAGAATCAATTAGATGATTTGGACTTCGCAGATGACCTAGCCCTCCTCTCTCATACACACGAACAAATGCAGATGAAGACAGCAAATGTAGCAGCAGCCTCCGCATCGATAGGTCTCCACATTCACAAAGGAAAAAGCAAGATTCTCAAATGCAACACGGAGAACACCAACCCAATCACACTTGACGGCGAAACTCTGGAAGAGGTGGAAACATTCAAGTACCTGGGGAGCATCGTTGATAAACAAGGAGGATCGGATGCAGATGTAAAGGCGAGGATTGGCAAAGCAAGGGCAGCATTTCTACAATTGAAGAACATATGAAACTCAAAACAACTCTCAACCAATTTCAAGGCCAGAATCTTTAATACGAACGTCAAGGCAGTCCTACTGTATGGAGCTGAAACGTGGAGAACTACTACGGCCATCATCAGGAAGGTACAAGTATTTATAAACAGTTGCCTACGCAAAATACTCAACATCCACTGGCCGGATACTATCAGCAACAGCGTTTTATGGGAGAGGACAAACCAGCTTCCAGCTGAAGAGGAAATTAGGAAAAGACGTTGGAAGTGGATCGGACATACATTAAGGAAATCACCAATGTGTATCACGACTCAATCCCTAACTTGGAATCCGGAAGGGAAGCGGAAAAGAGGAAGGCCAAAGAACACACTACGCCGGGAAATAGAAGCCGATATGAAAAGGCTGAATAGTAACTGGAAAGAACTGGAAAGGAAGGCTCAGGACAGAGTTGGATGGAGAATGCTGGTGAGCGGCCTATGCTCCTCCACAAGGGGTAACAGGCGTAAGTAAGTAAAGTAAGTAAGTGATGCTGTACAACTGTCATCATGGTACATTGTTTTCACACATAATATTCAAAGTTTATACAGGGTGACAAACAGAAAGCGACCACAGGGAGAGACGGGAAAAAGTGACATTATTAGACAATATTTCCTTGCCCAAGAAAACTAATATTTATCTGTGGAATTATATACATATATATATATATATATATATATATATATATATATATATATATATATATATATATATATATATATATATATAATCTGCCAGAAAGTGCACTGAACAACAGAAAATTCATTTTACTAGTAACTAGAATGAAATGAATATGTGTACGGTCCCATCAAGTAACACAATTCAGGACATACTGCATTAAATATTTTTCAGTTATTACATTAGCCTGTTATCTAAATTTTTAAAGCATCATGACCAATTTTTCTCGACCCATACACACACAGCTCAAATTATCATCTGTAGACATCTTTCTGAAACGATACTCTAATGAATTAATTTAACTCGTTTACCACGTAGAGATTAGTGTACTTGACTTTGAGTTACACTCTAAATGACATTCCCGACCGTTACCGCTACTTTGACGTGGTGGTCGGGCTTGCCTATCATGATGATTCAATCAAGCTATACTGGCTGGAACAATCGTTCCTCAAGGTCCTACCACGCCAGACAGGTCGGTTGAAGAGCGGTGAGACTAAAAGCAGCAAACCCAAGGTCCGAGGGCGAAGTCGTACTAATGACTGTACAGAGGTGTGTGTGCTTCCTTCAGACAACCAGCATGACAGCAATGCTGACTTCCCACAAGGAGGGGTGGGGTTAGAAAAGGTCGACCCTAAAAATGCACACCTCGCCTTATCCCACGGATATCCGTCTCCGGCGGTAAGGTCCTTTGAAGAACAGAGCTAACACAAAAACTACCCACAAAAGGTCGTGTGTGACCGACCTCAAGCAGTTGTCCCTTGGGCACTGTGGTCACGCTCTCAGATCATTAAGACCACTTCTAGCCCAATTTCCTTTTCAGGTACTCCTAGAAGAACCCTTCCACGGTGTGGGCAACCGGGAAGTGATAACTGCCCTCATACCTCTAACAGCACTCAAGACCACTGTATTCATTATCAATCTCCTTCTTCAATTCCTACTATTCCTTCTACCTTGACTTTCAACACTAAACTTCCTCTCTCGGTTTCCTCCTCAAGTGTCACCATGGCCAACGATTCTAGTGCGCGAAACGCTGTCTCAGGTCTACTAAAACCTCGCTCCAAACTACACATTGGAGCCTTCAACGTACGTACCCTATGCCAAATCGGTCAACAGGCCTCCTTAGAATACGCAGATGACATAGTCCTGTTTGGTGAAGACACTGACAAAATGCAGAGTCTTCTGTTGGAACTCAGCAATAATGCCAGGATGTTTGGGATGCGTTTCTCCCCATCCAAATGTAAATTGTTACTCCAGGACTGGCCTGCATCAACACCTGAATTAAGGATAGGGAGTGAAGTAGTCGAACGCGTCGACAACTTCACTTATCTTGGAAGTCTGATCAGCCCTAATGGGTTGGTGTCTGACGAAATCTCAGCAGGGATTCAAAAAGCTCGTTTGGCTTTTGCTAACTTACGTCACCTATGGCGAAGAGGAGATATCCGTCTATCAATTAAGCGACGAGTATACTGCGCAGCAGTTCGCTCTGTTCTACTTTACGGTTGTGAAACATGGCCATTAAGAGTAGAAGATACTTGTAGGTTACTAGTATTTGACCACAGATGTCTTAGAAATATTGCTCGCATCTGCTGGGATCACCGGGTAAGCAATAGTGAGGTACGACGCAGGGTATTAGGGAACGATGGTAAATCAGTTGATGAGGTCATGAATCTTCATCGACTGAGATGGTTGGGCCATGTGTTACGTATGCCTGAACACCGATTACCACGACGCGCTATGCTGACTAGTGTAGGGGATGGTTGGAAGAGAGTTAGGGGTGGCCAAACCAAAACATGGCATCAGTGTTTGAAGTCACTAACTTCTAGTCTGAGCCATGTTGGTAGATGCAGACTACCTGGTTGGGGTCCGCGTGACTATCATAACCAATGGTTGGAGACTCTGGGTCACATGGCTCAGAATCGATCACAATGGCGTAAGTGTATACACTCTTTATCTTCCCTGAAACCTTAAGATCAAAATTGCTTCATAACTTTTTTCTTTCCTATACGATATCCTTATATACAACCTTTCTTTATATACTACCACGACCTAAATTAATTACTTCTATGAATCCGGTGTTCATCTTGTTGTGCTAACGAGGTATGGCAACTTGGACCGATGCATATATGTGCCTGGTCCTACGTTGTCGCTGACTGACTAAGTGACATTACCCGGTTGCCTGAAGCAAAGTAGTGAGTGGGGAGGGGGTTAAGATTAATGACTTAGCCGCTGAAAGTAGAATGATGTAACCCCTTAGCCTCCGTTAATGTAAATCTCTTGTCAATTTTAATCGGGAGCTACATCTACTATTTATATTGCCAATATTATTATTATTATTAATAGTATTATCATAACAGCGAGAATAATAAGTTTAGTGTAAAATAAATTAGTGTAAATGTCAGCATTCATTATTATTGTTATTTCTTTTTGTTTCTTTTTTTAGCAAAGAAAAGGAAGAGAGAAATAAAGAAATAAACTTACTCTTCATTGATTTCATTAGTCTTAATAATATTGTATTCATCTCTTTTTATATGAACATTATTCTGATTAACATCAAAATTATTTCGATTATTTATATTGGATGGGTTGAAGGAGATCGCTGTTGTCTTATTTGATTCAGTTAATTTAATCGGAAAGTTTACAACTAAAAGAAAAACAAACAAAATAATCAACAACATTCACTTAGTACTGTTTGTTTGATTCAGGACTCAGTAGCTGAGTGGATAACGCATGGCGTTTGAAGCGAAAGGTACTGGGTTCGAGTCCTACGGTGAACATTAACTCTGAGATGCAGGTACATCCAAATAACGAGTCCCAAATAGGACGAAACGCGCGTCAATCTGGATTCCGTTGCTAGCTACTATCTATCTTTGGTTACAAACAACAACATTGTTTTCATCAATAAGAAAAAAAAACAGAATCTTTTTTTAAAAATATATTTTTAAAAAATGGTTTAGTGGAGTTGACCTTGTGAAATCTTGAAAAAATATAAGGGTTTATAGATACTGCTACTACAATTGAACACTTCAGTAATTTGTATCAGAATAAAAGGTTGTAAACAATATAATAAGTTTAGAAATTCATTGTACTTACTATATTCAGATCTTATTATTACTAATAATGATATCAACATTATACTTGTTGTGAAATTTAATCAACTCAGTAGCTATTAGGATAAAGTGTAGGATGTTTAAAGTGAAAAATAACGGATTCGAGTCACGGTGTGACCATAAAAACACTGGAAAAAGGCACATCCAGTTGACGAGTTCCAAATAAAACGAAATACGCGTCCCATCATTCACAATCCATCTATTCTATTATAAACAATGTTCAACACTTTTAATTGGACTCGCGAACATTACTCATTATAGAAATCATTTGAAAAAAAAATAAATATTTTGTAGGTTGACACATTGAACTTTAGGCGATAAAATAATCAATCCTATTTCTTACTTCTATGAATTGCATAGATTTATGTGACAGAATGAAACAGTTGTTCAGTATGTTGCCTGACTTTCATACATCATTAAACTGCTAACATTACAAGTTAATGCTGTGGCAAATGAATTATCATTTTAAAAATTAAGGATTTCGCTTCATAAACACACTTATTTACTTTCTGAATTGCCTAAATTGGAGATTATTTGTACAAGTCTTGGAGTGGTGGTTCAGTAGTTAAAGTTTGAGTTTCAACTAACAAATTACAGTTTCGAGCCCCGGCCCACCAATCTCAGTTCAGATAACTAGGTAGTATCACTAACCTTCACTAGTAGCCAGGTGCACGAATCTATACCCGATAAATGAGTTAATTAATACAAAATAAGTCACTCAAATATCAGCACAGAAAGTGTACTACCACTGCTCAGTGGTAGTTATTGTTAAAAATAATGTCACAAATTGTTTCTTTCATAGAGTTCTGAAGAATAAAGGGTGATTAAACACATTCAGTATGTAGGGACAGTGACTACTTAGTGGTTGAAGTATTCAATTTTTAGACACTACGTCTCTGGTTCGAAACCCGCTGCACATACTTCAGTTTGGGCAAGTGGGGGCAGTGTTATTAGTCCTTATTAGTCACTCAGAGTGTGGCTGATAACCAAGTATCTAGTAAGTGGATTAGTATAAATTTGGTATGTAGGACTAAGTTTATAAAAGAAGTTAAGTCAGTCCACTCAGCTATGAGTAACTGCTTATTTGAGTCGTTATTAGGAGGTGCATACTTTCCAAGTTGGAATCTTGATACTGATAGGAATTAGTGGTTGGAAATCCGAGGTGATATAATAGAGAACAGATCATATAACGATGTGAATCTAAATTTGCTTGTTATCTTAGATGCAAGTTTTGAACACATTTTGTAACTCTCATTTTCTACATATTCTTTTCTTCACTTGAGAATTTCATGTTTTATTGTTCTTGTGTATAGTCTTTTGTGTTTATACTATGTGCGACCGGCGATTTGAACATAAGCATTTATATACAAATTTCATAATGATATATACTTGTTTTATAAGCAGATTTAAATAGTGTCTAGCAGTGGAATGTAGGATGCACGTTTCGTCCTGTTTGGGACTCGTCAGTTGGGTGTAGGTCCTAGGTTTCATCCACAACGGAGCCATGGGCGCGCACCCTGAGGAGTTCCATACTAGGACTAGAAAGTTGTATAGTAATTCTCGATTTTCGATGATATTCTAAATGAGATCAGCCTGGGACACATGCAACTTATGAATTGGCTTGAATTGAAAATTCTAGCCCGTTGAATTTCCAATTAGCTAACTGAATAGTTAACATTTGTATCGTAATGCTATTGAAAAGAAACAAGTAATTTGGGATGACCTATAGGAAGAGTAGGGAATAATCTTAGCGATTACAAAAATTAAAACCCAGTAGAAAAATATGTAACAATACGCTTTTATTGAACTATGGCGTCATGAGAGTTAAGATTCTAGTTGAACATAAACATAACACTTATTACAATCAAAGATAGAAGCAATAAAGAATTAGGTTGAATAGTTGGTATTCTATTTAAAAGATAATATGGAATATAGTACTTTTTTTCTAATCAAAATGTGATTAACTTGCCATTCTCTTTTATCACAGAAAAAGAAGAACAATTTCGTGATGATGACGATTCATCAGTTGTTCTCCTCTGACCAGAATCGATATAACTGTAACTGATAAAATAAAACGATTCTTAGTATTTCATGGAAGTAGACACAGTAATTAACTATACTAAAATTTAGAAAAAAAAACTAATACAAGAAAGACTGAATTCAAACTCTATTGGCTAAACTGTAAAACTCACTTATAATTATCAACCTAGACTAATGTGACAGATCGTATTGACTGGGACTCCCCATTTAAGAGAGGCGTACCACTTAACCAAAATTAGGTTAACGTTTAATGACTTGGTAGATTGAAATCATGTCTTAATCTACTTAAGTATATTTATTCTTTTATCGTCCTGATCTCATAGCGGCTGATACGTTATGTTATGTTGGCTGTCAGTTATTTTACATGTATAACACATATTTTAGTCTTTTTGGTCAGTGTAGATCTGCAAAGTTATTTACTATATAGAACTTTGGATGTAAACGCTAGAAGTTGCTTACTTATGAGTTTTACCATGCTGTAGCAGTGTTAAGAAGATATTCATCATTTAGTTAGTTTATCTTCAACGATTATGACTCAAAAGCATAGGGAAGATCAGACAGGATTAAGATATATTATACTCACTGCAGAATATCTAGAGCTTGAATTATAAAAGGTGTAACTTTTTGATATTTAAACGAGTCATGTCTTAAATTCTTTGACAAGTCACAACAAAATAATAAAATATTGATTCATTCACTATTTATTTATTTATTTAAACACATATATATATTGGTACAAAAGGGCACCAGGTACATATGCGCCACACAAAATAATGAAAGTAGAAAGAGAAGGGATGAAAAGATAATGCGGACTGAAATGTACAACCAGAAGACTCTTTCAGTTAGGAAAGTTAGAACCATTCTTTATGTAGAAAGTAAAAGAAGGTTGCAGCAGGATCGCCACTGGCTTCTATTCTGAGCCATATCTGATAACGTCTCTAGCCACTGTGTTGCACCATTTCTCGGACCCCAACCAGGGAGTCGTGAAGGACCAACGGAAGCTAGCCCTTTGCAGCTTTCTTTCATACCACGACACCATGTCATACACTGACCTCCTCTCCGCTTTTTCCAACCAGTCCCAGGGTCGGTAAATAATGCACGACGTGGAAGTCTCTGGGACGAATTCACTATATATATATATATATATATATATATATGATAGATACAATTGTAACAAACGTGTTGAAATACAAAAAAAAAATAATTAAATCTAAGATGGTTAACTCTAATTACATAAAGAATTTTAAACAATTATCATAATAACAATAACATTGAATGATTGACAATTAAATATTTATATTAATTAAAATAGTATTAGATATATGTGAAAATAAAGTGAACTCAGAGCACTTGTGTATTAGTGTTATCTTGTTAACTTTTAGTAACAGTAAAACAAAATAACAAGAAGAATGTACAATAATTAATTGAACATTAACAATAGTTCAAACATATTATGTCAATCAGTTAAAATAAGAATAGAGTGCGATAAATATCTTTATCAGTTTCAGTTGTCATACTATATCAGTAAAATAAATATGAAATTATGAAGATAAATCTCAGAGTAGTAGAAGTATAAAGAATATTGGTAATAATAGAAAAGATTAGGCATGAAAATATGGTTCCAAGAGATAGAATGAATTTATGGAATATAAAAGTGTAAGATGTAAGAGCAGATAGAAAGTGAGTACGTTTGAGCCATTGCGACAGCCTTTAAGACATGTCATCTAGTCTTTAACCATTAGCTAGTCACCAAATACCCTGGTACGGTCAAGGGTAGAGAGAGTTCACTCTCCCTCTGAAAATGCTCTCATACGCGTATACAGCCATTGTCAAGGAGGTCCAACGCACTGCCTTCTCGAGGTAGGGGTGTTGTTTATGAAATTGAGAGGACGAAAAGCGAATGTCCGGAGCTTTATCAGGTCGGTGAATATGGAGGATCCAACTACGGGAGTTGGAAACCCGGTTCCAAACCATTGGTGCATAAGAACTCCATGATCCTGAAGAAACAAATGGAGTAGGAACCTATTCTTGATCACTGTCTACCATGGGACTACATCTCTTAACATTGCTCTACTGCCTTATGGATTAGACCTCTGGGTCAAGGGTTGGAGAGTGGCCATCTAGGAAGACCACTGTTTCTGTTCGGATGCCCGAGGGGTACCACAGGCCTCACACAAATCGAATGCTGGTGTGGCGCACATATATTTGGTGCCTCCTTGTACTGATGTTTATATGTTTAAATAAATAAAATTGGCTACGATAATCAAGCGTACCCCAACAAGATAGCCTCCAACCACCAACATGGCTCAGACCAACAGTCAATGACTTTATGGACTTATTCCATGTCGAGGTTTGGCCGCCCTTAAAAGACTCAAAGCAGGTTAGAAGAAACTAATAAATAAACTAGTCTGCACATTAGGATTAAGTGAATTCAACTTTATGGTCTAACGATAATTCATTCACCTCTCGAAGCCTGATGGTACTGCTGGGCTTGATTCCTCACAGTGAGTCATGAACTAGTACTGCTAGAGTTTCAAAATAACAATAACGCACTTAGCTAATGACATCCCCGGTTTTAACGGTTAATGCGTGATAGAAATTCATCTGTAGTGAAGAGAGCACTGGTTGAGGACAATCGAATGTATTTAAGCAAACATTACAGACTATCTCAGTAAATTCTGATTACCAAACAATGAATTTGCAAATTGCAAATTAACAACCAATTGTTTCAATCTTCACTGTTTCTTCTATTATTCCATTGCTCATGCATTTTCCAAACGATTGGGCTTCATTTCAGTTCTTTCCTCATCGGTCTTCTGCCAAAATACATTCTATGTCTGACCCACACCATATACTACTTATATAGATATAAGTAGACAACACCACACATCTTCCCAATCTATGCATCAATTAAAGACTAGGAGTAACTTTTATCAACAAAAATAATTACGGAAATATAAACACAGAGTACGATGTTACACCACACAAGATATTGCAATCTATAATTCAATATATAACCAGCTTTTATAAGCAAAATTATAATGAAATATGAATTCATTCGTAAATTAGAAGAAATAGGAAGATTGTAACTCTGGTATTTAGTTGACGTATTTTGTAAAGAAAAAAAGTATTATTGCTTTCGTACTTCATAATAGACGATTTCTTGACTATTTAGATAAAATTGAATAGAGAAAGTGAAGTCACATACATACATATATAATACAGATATACACAATTTCGAGAGAAAATAAACAAAGAAAGGTGAAGTCAAAAAAAACAAAAAACGAATGGGGTTAAATTTCTTTAATTTGTTTGTATATACACGTCAAGTGTTTTTTTTCTTTTTGGTGAACAAATAAAACAACTAATTTTTTTAAGAGAACAACAACAATAAAAAAAATTGATTTTATGAAACTCTATTGAAATTGTTCACCTTATTCCTCCCTTTTTTTAAAAAAAAATCTTCAATGTGTTTAATGAAATGTCAATAATGGAAAAACAAAATACATCAATATATGTACGTATGTGGGTGTGTATAGTTCGACACCTAGTATTCATAACAATCTATTAAAATGTAAATGTAAGCGCATATAGTAATAAAAACAGTGTTGTTGACATTGTCTATTGTATTGTTTCCTATTCGGTTGGTAAAAAAAAAACTATTGACTAGTGACAACTATCAAAAAACATTGGTGGAGCAGGATATCCTGCCGACTACTTCTAACCACGAGTAAATTGTTTTATTAAGTTAATACTTAAAATATTTCCATTTTAATATGATGTTTTCTAAGAAAACTGCTTTACATTGCTCGAACGCTGTTAAACATAGCTTAAGAAAGTAATAACCATACATAAGTTTCATGTTTTTGATAACAGGTACCTTCGAACTAACGTTCGCCTTAGGTGTAACCGCTAAGTGAGAAATATTGAGGTTGGTTGTATGATACTAGGGAAAGGTTTTCAACTTCTATTGATTAAGGTGAACATCTACTACGTATATTCTGACATGTTATTTATAACTGACTAACGAAACGAGATTGAAATACCGTAAGGAGATAAAACATCTTAAAGGAGTCTAAGGTATTTTTCTCAAGATCCCTTTGAAATAATATTATTATACTGGGAAAAACCAGATAAGCTTGTGGCCTTCAAAACAGAGGATATTCGTAGATTATTAGTATTTGGCTACAGATGCTTTACAGACATTGCTTTTATATGTTAATAGAGTGATATGACAATAGAGTGAGCAAAATTGAAGTTAGACCCAGGGTACTACTAGGTAGGGTTGGAAAATCGGTTGATGAGTTAATGAATCTTCATCGACCCAGGCGGTTGGGATATACACTACGTATATCCGGCGACTGCCTACTTCTCGAACTATATCTTCTATACCTAATCTTGGCTACTATCACTGATACTTATACTACTTATATTACTCTAGTATCTCGATGTGTTGTGGCAAGTTGGACCGATGTACATATGTGTTAAAAACTATGTTGTGCATGACTACCTAACTGAGGTTGACAGATAAAATGCGATTACGCCACCGAAAGAACAAAAATTATCACTTACCGTTGTTCTGGTGTCTGGTTATCAGTTTTTGGACTTAACTCGTCTAAAACATGAATCATTTCATCATAATTACGTTTCAGTTGATATTGTAGTACATCACGTTGCAGACATAAAAATGGTATATTCAGGAATTTATACACATACATCAAACCTAAACCAGTTTTCATTGATGATTCACAATATTGTACGGGGATAGAACGAATTGGATTTGATGATGAAATCCTACAAAAATAAACGACATATATATATATATATATATATATAGAATGATGAAAAAAAAGTTATCAAACAAAATTAGTAATACAAGCTAAGACAATCCACTTAAAACAGGATCTTATTGAAGAGAGTTGAAATATCAATGGAAGCGTTACTCTCCTTGGAAGTTTAAATATACATTGCTGAAAGAGGTGAGTTTAGTTGGTTGATTGATTTATCAAGATTGAATGGATTCCAGAGTATTTTTCACTATCATATGATAAGTCGATTGAACAACCATTAAAGAACATATGATGATATTAGACAGTTGTTGTTTCGATCTAGTAGTTTGAAGCTCTGAATTAGTAGCAAAGATTCGAACTCCTAGGACATTCAGGTTACGAGAGAATAGATTAAAGTTAGAAATGTAAACCATTGTGTGATTATTACAGTTACCTATACTATCAGATGATGGCACCCTGAAACAGTTTAATTAATAGGTGGTGCGGTTGGTAATGTATGAATGCAGTGGATAAAAGTTGACCAGCACTATGTTACTTTAGTCATATTAAATTTACAAAAACAGTTAATATTGATTCGTTCATGTTGTAACTGGGTAAGGACGTTGGTGAATAAACCTTTAAGTTTTACAACTTAGTGACCAAGTACAAGCATGTATAAAAGCTGATGATATTATGGATCTGTTCGAATCACGGACAGAGGGATGAGATCTGAATCTACAACTCTGTGGTTAAAAACAATGTGCTTTTACTATTAAATCATTGTTCACATTAAGTAAAACATTAGGCAATTTAAATGTTATTAAGAATCTGACAAAAGTAAAATCTCACATGAAAAATCGGTTTATACTGTTTTATTACACAAGTCTTCTTTAGGATAAAAACAGTATTTAAACTATCATTCTTACAACTACAAAATTCAGTCTAAAGGATATTAACAAAAAACCGAATTTTCTTCATATTACACCAAACAACGTGTTGAAAGAACTGATTAACTAGTTAAAATATATCATGGCATAACACTAAATTCGAAAATGTTAATCTATTGAATTCGGACTCAGTTATATGAAGGGATATTATACACAAAAATAAAAGCACAAGACCGTGAGTTCAATTCCCGCTATTGTCTTGGGTTCCCAAAAACACACAAAAGAATCCACGAAATCTAGGATGAAACATTTAATTAGTGCGACCTCCTTCCTGTTACTAAACAGTTCTCCTCAATTGATATCGGGTCGAAAAATAGCTACGACTCTTTTTTCGTCTATGTCAGAGGTATATCACTTGTTAGGTGGCTGGAGGTGGTAGGGAGGAAACCTTGATCGAATTAGGCCTCGTGTTAGTTATCATCTATCAGCAAGACATGCCTACAATCTTTAGGGAACCTACACTCCCTGATGAATTTGAACACGAGTTGCCCAGTTTTAAAGTCTGATATGTTGATACTGTGGTATTTGGTCTAGACTACGATTAACCTCTTGCAAAAATGAGATATTTACAAGTAGTTGATTACTGAATAATGACCAGTCAAATAAATATATCGCATTATTTAAACTAAACTTCGACATATAACAAAAAACTTATATGACGATAGAGAAAGATCAAAGTCCAGTACATTATACGGATGATGAAAAATAGTTTGATATATTGTGCACTAAATTTTATTATTATTGTTACCAATACCATTATTACATACATTTTTTTAAAATGGAAGAACAATATAACGAATATTGACTATAATAGTGACATGGAACCATTTCGATTGATGTGTATATAATGGTGTTTTTATTGACACCAAATTATATTGATTTCATTCAGATTTATAATTTAGTGTAAATCAATATTCAAGATTGTTTTGGACAGAAGTCTGATGCAATATGTAAGCCGTAGATAATCGATAAACTATTATTATCATTATTATCGTACTATACGGATCAATAATCTAGTCTGAATGTACTACTACTACTAGTTATAATAATAATAATAACAGTAAATGGCTAAGGTGAATCATTGATGAAAGTTCAATTTACCAGTATAAAGTTGATTGAAAACAATTAAACGGACAGAGTAAGAATACAACAAACTATTGGTAAACTAGTAGTATATTGTAAGTGGAACACTGTATGTAGTACGCATGTAAGCATCGGCTATGAATAATAATAATAATGATTATATATATATATATATATATATATATATATATATACGTGTATACACTTCATTCTATGAAACGAAGTTTAAACATTTAGCTCTGTTTTAACCCTGTAAGATGTGTACGAAATAACGATTCACAATACACATACAAGAATCTTAAACATCTAATTTGTTTACAAGAACTATGTTAAATGTATGTTGTGCGAAAAATGAAACGCTTAAGTTACATAGTTAGGGCTTTTCGATTATATTTCCAGAATCAAAGAGTGGTGTTTCGATTAAATAAATCCAAGGTCAGATCTTAATCCTATAGTATTGTACCATTATACACATAGTTTCCTTTATTATCTTGAAGAGAGCAGGAACAAAGATTGGAGTGAACATGAATTCTGATTGAGATCGGTCTCGCAGGAGAACGCAAGGGTCCTTGGCTCGAGTCCTGCGTGCGTGATTGTGGATGCGCAATGTCGAGGAGTCCCAAACTAGGGCGAAACAGCCATACAGTGCTTCAAGGTTTTCAATAGTAGTCTAACATTGATCGATTCATGATCTCAGTTAAAAACTCAACACTCTCCACAACCCTATACTAATAACATGAATTCATTTTATTTCGTTAAGTTCTCATCAGCTGCTTACAACTTGAAGTATTTAAAAATCAAAGTTTTCAGGTGATTTACAGCCAAATACCGAATTTCTAAAGTTTACTGAAGTGGTTTTTATCTCGTGGTCTAGCTTCAAATGACTCATGATCTCAACTATTAAGATTCATTTGTATTAGTATTCTCAACCCACTTTGTAATTTCCATTTTTTTGAAACATTACAGGTTCTAAGTAGCTGAAGATAGTCTGACAAAATAAAATGAATTGATGTTATTTCACCCGAATATTGTTTTATTACTACAGAAGATATGGAGATTGTGAGTTTTCGTAGTTTACATCAACCATATCGGTTTTGTGGCAATCACCAACTAATGGTAATGAAGGATGGTTGGGTAGTATCGTGAATCGATTGAAGTTAGGAAAATAAACAATGGAATGCCAAATCAGTGATCTTGAGGCAAGCGCTCGCATAGAGACCTGTAGGTCATGGGTCCGACCTTGGTGGGATCGTGCATGTGCAATACTGAAGAGTTTCATACTAGAATGAAAAAATTGTCTAGTATGACCCTGTTTTCTATTGGGTCTGTAATGTAAACTATCAGTCCAATAGTATAGATGTCTAATATCGGTCAATTGGCGATACTGTGAGGATATCGACTTCCATCGCCAGAGGTGGATAACTGGTACACATCGGACATGGGATGAACTCTCAATACAGTAACGAAGGAACAAAAATGAGTAGAAAACGTTACTTTTATCACTTAAATGACTCTAAACAGAGTTTTCATATATTAAAGAATTTATACATAAATGTATCAGGAACTGACTACAAAGAGAGCTTCAAGAATCACAGTGACTAAAAATAGATCTCTTGGTTGAATCACTTGTTCTCTCTTTTTCTCGGTTCTATTATCCATCCTCTATTTTAACTTATCAGAACATTTGTTTCATAAGCTAGCTAACTACCTATATGAATTGTTACAGAATACGGTAAATAACTATGCTTCATTCTAATTGTATCTTTCGAACATTTTTTCTCATCTATATGTTTACGTGTGTGCATAGTAAACAGAAGGTCAGCTAGGACATTTTTCATATTTTAGTTTAGTTTCATCTCTTATTTATCGGTTGTTCCCCCCCCAAAAAATACTATAACTACTATTGGTAATAGCAATGATAATAATGTTGATCTTGACACACTAAGCAAATAAGTGATTGAACTTGACATTTATTACTGCCATATATTTACTGTCCAAAAAACTGATTCGAGTACAACAAATAACAACAATGTTATTGTGAAAAGAAGTAAAAACTGAATTGTACATGTTAAATTGTTTAATAGATCATGAACTAGAATATCTATCTCTACTAGTAATCTTTAGTTAGTTTAAAATCATTTCCTAAAATATCGAATTGTTTTTTGTTTTACATCTGTCATAATGAAGTTTTATCTTACTATACTACTACTTAGTTTGTTATCTGATTTTAATTTGTTTACCGAGGGTTTTATTTAATGATAATGCCAATTAGAAAAGAAGAATACAAATTGATGATAAACTAAGTGGAAGCATTTATTCAAGACGGTAATAAACATTTGGTATACTCTATTTATTAGACAAATATTGTGGGTGAGAGCCTGCAATATACAGACATGCACATACATACACACAAGTTGGATTTGAGATTTCTTTGTAATGGTTTAAGCGACTCCATTGTGTATTCAAAAACAAGAGATATTTTAGTGAAGCATTGTTTCCAATAGCTCCATCATCAGGAGCTCTAAAGTTGTAAATTTAAAGAAGGTATACATTAATATGTGAAGCGAAAAATGTCACATGTTACAGTAGTAAACTTTGCATCGGTTACGATTTAAATACGTCCAAAATGTGTCCTTTGTAGATTTGAAAGCCCATTAAAGTAAAAGATAGAGAAATTCATTGTAAGGCCTCAAATTACAGAACTCTAATAAAATAAACCATGTGAATATAACGCGCGATGGGAGAAATGTTATGTCAGGTTCATTGGGATAATAATGTCAAAAAGTCGTGTGTGTATTACGTGTAATAAGAAAAATGTTTTCAGGATAGTCATTATACGAAGTTTATGTGAATTAAGAAAGATGAATGTGCAAATTAAAAACAAGATAGAGGATTGAGGGAAAGTATTTATAATATTTGCTTTATGTATGGGGTGACCCGTAAGTAATCACATCGTCACATTTGCGAACCACGACTATATATATATATATATATA